TTCGTGTTAACGTGAGAATGTTTTATACAGACAGACGGACGGACGGACAGACGGACATAGCTAAATCGACTCAGAATTTCATAAGATCCAAGAATATATATACTTTGTTGGGTCTCAGATGAATATTTCTTGGTGTTACACACGGAATGACAAAGTTATATATACCCTCTATCACCACTGATGGTGGTGGAGGGTATAACAAGTAAGAAATTATAGTCGGGCGAGGCCGACCATATAATACCCTACACCTTTGACAAAAATATAATGTGATTTAGTTGCCATAATTAAGCATTTAAGTTGAATTGTACCTTGTCTTAGATATACATACTTAAGCCGTTTATTGTTGAATAAAATTGTGGACATTTAAGTGAAATTGTGATGGGGGCTTTTCATAGGGGCTAGGATCATATGAGAACCTATTATTATGGAATTCGTGAGGGTCATCAAGCCTTGTATACAACTTGGTTTTTGCAGCTTTTTGTCGGGATATGAGTAATTAAACATAATTATGAACTTAAAATCCCTATTCGGCGGGTTCAGTTGTATGGGGCTAGGTGAAATAATGGACCGATGTAAACCATTTTCAACAGGCTTCGTCTACGGTACTATAACAGATCATGTGCCAAATTTCATTGAATTATCTCCAAAATTGCGACCTGTAGTTTGATTACAAGGTTTAAAAGCCCTATTCGGGGGTTCAGTTGTATGGGGGCTAGGTGAAATAATGGACCGATGTTAACCATTTTTAATAGGCTTCGTCTACGATACCATAAAAGATCATGTGCCGAATTTCATTGAATTATCGCCAAAATTGCGACCTGTAGTTTGATTACAAGCCCTATTGGGGGGTTCAGTTGTATGGGGGCTAGGTGAAATAATAGAACGATCTTAACCATTTTCAATAGGCTTAGTCCCTGGGACAATAGAAAATCATGTACCAAATTTCATTGAATTATCTTCCAAATTGCGGACAGACGGACGGACATAGCTAAATCGACTCAGAAAATGATTCTGAGCCGATTGGTATACTTTAAGGTGTATAGGTATAGGACCAATATTATTGTGCGTTACAAACATCAGCACAAACCCAATATACACTCCCCTCTAAGGTGGTGTAGGGTATAATTAAATAAATTTTGTTTAACAAACTGAGAATGTGTCAGTCAGTATACATATATGTATAAAGAAAGTGTTTGGATGTATGTGTATAATGAAAATTATTCGACTATTTAGGTCTTTATTAAAAATAATGTTGCAACAATAATAGAAACATTTTCAAATGTTGCTTCCACACAAAAGACGAAGAAAAGCAAAACAATTTAGAAATGAAAACCTCCTCGAAAATAAATTTATTATTATTTAAGATGCCAAAACAATTTTATTGCGCTGTGTGCACTTTTATTTATTTTCCTACAAAGATTTATACACCCCAAATCAAATCAAAATAGCAGCTCATTTGGTGGTCATACCGACAGACATACATACGCTACGACCGACACTATATATAAATGACCAATAGTCGAATTCGCTCAGCAGCTAATATCTAAGGCAACTACATATTTAGCTGTTGAATTAAAATTATCGTATTTTGTTGTCTATTCATAATTCAAAATAAAGTAGAATTTAGTTTAATACACTGCCTCACTGCTGCATTGCCTCTGTGCTGTCTGCCTCGTATAATATACACCTCTACTTATTTTTTAGCATTTTTCAGATTGTACATTTTACATTATAATTTCTTCTTATGATCGCATTGCTGATGATCATCAAGAAAATTTCAAAAATGAAAATGCGTCAATTTTTCAAATGCAAAATTACTCGCTAAATAATTTGCTTAAATTTAGATTTAGATACATTTATCTAACAACCAGACCCACAAATACAAACACATGTTCGAATATTTACGTTGATTGTTTAAATTGAAAATATGTACCTTTATTTAGGAGGAAAATATTTTTATACAATTTTCTATTTTTTTTGTGTTTGTTATTTTTGCTTCAGTTCAGAGGGAATTTGCTGCAATGAGAAATTAAATCAAGCAGACAAATTTTGAACACTTGAGATTTTAACAAGGTGTTTGTCCGTTTTTTATATAAAATGCCACAAGTTCCTTATATCGGGTATTATAGTATGAAACTAGATTTTGTTCTTTTTTTGTTAGAAATTAGTTTTCTTCTAGTTCTAGTTCTGTTCTAATTATGTTCTAGTTCTGTTTTAGTTCTGTTTTAGTTCTGTATTAGTTCTATTCTAGTTCTGTTATAGTTCTGATCTAGTTCTGTTCTAGTTCTGTTCTAGTTCTGTTCTAGTTCTGTTCTAGTTCTGTTCTAGTTCTGTTCTAGTTCTGTTCTAGTTCTGTTCTAGTTCTGTTCTAGTTCTATTCTAGTTCTGTTCTAGTTCTGTTCTAGTTATGTTCTAGTTCTGTTCTAGTTCTGTTCTAGTTCTGCTCTAGTTCTGTTATAGTTCTGTTCTAGTTCTGTTCTAGTTCTGTTTTAGTTCTGTTCCAGTTCTGTTCTAGTTCTGTTCTAGTTCTGTTCTAGTTCTGTTCTGTTCTAGTTCTGTTCTAGTTCTGTTCTAGTTCTGTTCTAGTTCTGTTCTGTTCTAGTTCTGTTCTAGTTCTGTTCTAGTTCTGTTCTAGTACTGTTCTAGTTCTGTTCTAGTTCTGTTCTAGTTCTGTTCTGTTCTAGTTCTGTTCTAGTTCTGTTCTAGTTCTGTTCTAGTTCTGTTCTAGTTCTGTTCTAGTTCTGTTCTAGTTCTGTTCTAGTTCTGTTCTAGTTCTGTTCTAGTTCTGTTCTAGTTCTGTTCTAGTTCTGTTCTAGTTCTGTTCTAGTTCTGTTCTAGTTCTGTTCTAGTTCTGTTCTAGTTCTGTTCTAGTTCTGTTCTAGTTCTGTTCTAGTTTGTTCTAGTTCTGTTCTAGTTCTGTTCTAGTTCTGTTCTAGTTCTGTTCTAGTTCTGTTCTAGTTCTGTTCTAGTTCTGTTGTAGTTCTGTTCTAGTTCTGTTTTAGTTCTGTTCTAGTTCTGTTCTAGTTCTGTTCTAGTTCTGTTCTAGTTCTGTTCTAGTTCTGTTCTAGTTCTGTTCTAGTTCTGTTCTAGCTCTGTTCTAGTTCTGTTCTAGTTCTGTTCTAGTTCTGTTCTAGTTCTGTTCTAGTTCTGTTCTAGTTCTGTTCTAGTTCTGTTCTAGTTCTGTTCTAGTTCTGTTCTAGTTCTGTTCTAGTTCTGTTCTAGTTCTGTTCTAGTTCTGTTCTAGTTCTGTTCTAGTTCTGTTCTAGTTCTGTTCTAGTTCTGTTCTAGTTCTGTTCTAGTTCTGTTCTAGTTCTGTTCTAGTTCTGTTCTAGTTCTGTTCTAGTTCTGTTCTAGTTCTGTTCTAGTTCTGTTCTAGTTCTGTTCTAGTTCTGTTCTAGTTCTGTTCTAGTTCTGTTCTAGTTCTGTTCTAGTTCTGTTCTAGTTCTGTTCTAGTTCTGTTCTAGTTCTGTTCTAGTTCTGTTCTAGTTCTGTTCTAGTTCTGTTCTAGTTCTGTTCTAGTTCTGTTCTAGTTCTGTTCTAGTTCTGTTCTAGTTCTGTTCTAGTTCTGTTCTAGTTCTGTTCTAGTTCTGTTCTAGTTCTGTTCTAGTTCTGTTGTAGTTCTGTTGTAGTTCTGTTGTAGTTCTGTTCTAGTTCTGTTCTAGTTCTGTTCTAGTTCAGTTCTAGTTCTGTTTTAGTTGTGTTCTAGTTCTATTCTAGTTCTGTTCTAGTTCTGTTCTTGTTATGTTCTAGTTCTGTTCTAGTTCTGTTCTAGTTCTGTTCTAGTTCTGTTCTAGTTCTGTTCTAGTTCTGTTCTAGTTCTGTTCTAGTTCTGTTCTAGTTCTGTTATAGTTCTGTTATAGTTCTGTTATAGTTCTGTTCCAGTTCTGTTCTAGTTATGTTCTAGTTATGTTCTAGTTCTGTTCTAGTTCTGTTCTAGTTCTGTTCTAGTTCTGTTCTAGTTCTGTTCTAGTTCTGTTCTAGTTCTGTTCTAGTTCTGTTCTAGTTCTGTTTAGTTCTGTTCTAGTTCTGTTCTAGTTCTGTTCTAGTTCTGTTCTAGTTCTGTTCTAGTACTGTTCTAGTTCTGTACTTGTTCTGTTCTATTTCTGTTCTAGTTCTGTTCTAGTTCTGTTCTAGTTCTGTTCTACTTCTGTTCTAGTTCTGTTCTAGTTCTGTTCTAGTTCTGTTCTAGTTCTGTTCTAGTTCTGTTCTACTTCTGTTCTAGTTCTGTTCTAGTTCTGTTCTAGTTCGGTTCTAGTTCTGTTCTAGTTCTGTTCTAGTTCTGTTCTAGTTCTGTTCTAGTTCTGTTCTAGTTCTGTTCTAGTTCTGTTCTAGTTCTGTTCTAGTTCTGTTCTAATTCTGTTCTAGTTCTGTTCTAGTTCTGTTCTAGTTCTGTTCTAGTTCTGTTCTAGTTCTGTTCTAGTTCTGTTCTAGTTCTGTTCTAGTTCTGTTCTAGTTCTGTTCTAGTTCTGTTCTAGTTCTATGCTATTTGAGTTCTATTTCTGTTCTAGTAATGTTCTAGTTCACGTTTTGGAAACATATTTGTCTTTATTTAGGGTATTGAAACAATCTGCATTGCCTATGGTACATTCCACATATCAAAAAATTGCCTACAAAGAAAACGTAGAAATATCGAGGGAACACATTGAGGTAATTTAGAGGAAAAATTATCTCAAATAAAAATCCAATACAAAATTGTAGCATTTACAAGCTAATCAAAATATTTTTCACTTTTTTTTTTGTATTTTCCTCAAATAATTTCTTGAATTGAATAAATGAATTGTGTATGAAAATAATGAAATTTCTAATAATGATCATGGTGATCATTATTGAGAATTTTGTTGATCATGTGAAATTGGGTGCCTAATGGCTGCTGGTAATGATGATGATTGTTGCTAGTGGTTGATGGTTGTGGTGGCGGCGGAGCAGGTGGTAATGGTCAACACAAAGTTTCTACGTTGTGTTGGAAATCAGACAGAATTGTGGCTAAATACATAAAAACTAAATAAGTTGAACATTAAACAGATATTTTGTTTTCGAAATACTCTATAGAAATGTGTTGTGTTTAGCGTATAAATAATACGAGTACAACAAACAATATTGAACATTTATTTTTAGCAACATTTACCTAAATATTCCAATTTTATTTGTGAAAAAAAAAATAAATAAATAATGAGAATAATTTGATGCCAGAAATTGTTTTTCTAACTATTTAAAGATGATGATGAAGAACGATCGATAAAAAAAACGGTTTTGGAATGCGGTAATAAATTAATGAATGACTACAAATATTTGTTTTAAATTAATTAAACATTAATTTTTAGTTTTCTAGTTTTGGTGTTTTTTCTCTTCGGTTTCCAAAATAAATTAACTTAACAACAAATTGATAATTTCATAATTATGAACGTGTTAACTGACTTATTTGTCAATTAATGATCGTTTTAATGGTTGTTTCGTCTCAATCGCTTTTTAATAGTTGTTTAGATTTGTTTGGACAGATAATAAAAAAAACACGAAAAAACGCAAACGTTCACAAACAAAATGTGGTTTACAAATGTCAACCAACTACTTATTTGAGTGTTAAAACACGCACTTGGCTAATGTACAGTGGAAGCTAAAAGTAAGAGTGCCAATGAAGAAGCTGTAATAACAATAAATAAACCTATACTATCTCAACACTTCCTTAAAACCGAACCGAAGTAATCAGTAGTCATTACCGGCTGATCACAATAGTCAGCAGGTGAACAACGCTAACTCGTTTTTGCATATTTTCTTTTGTAATTTACTGTTACTTTTCGGTGTGGTATATTTTTTATTGATTTTAAAATGATGTTTTTATGATCACCACTATCACCTCACTCGCCATGGTGGTATTTCTGTTTTAAGTACTTTTTTATGATTGTTTTGAAAACTTTTGTATTTTTTTCAATATTTATTTTATTTATTAATGTATTTATCATCGTACTCTATGTCGACATAAATATGTTTTATTTAAGAGATTAATTTTTCAATATTTATTATTAGCAAATTAAAAAAGTTTTTTTATTACTACGCCTTTTTTATGTAAAAATAATGCAAAACCAATATCATCAATAAGATTGTCATAAAATATGAGATGAAATATAAATTATACATTTTCGCCATCAATACACAAGTTATAAAATGAACTAGTTAAAGTGTTTATAACTGAGGTTGTCGGTGGATTGGTTGGTTATTAACCTAGTCAAATCGCATCTCATCTAAAAAATAATTTATGATGATGAAAAAAACATAAAAATGTTTAATGTGAAGAGAGCAAATAAAATAGATTGTTTATGAAAATACACATAAAATTTAGCTAATATCATCTAGCTACTTCAAATTAACATACTTTTCAATGGTAAATATTTAAATTTTGTATTTCTCTGCATAAGTTCCATAAAAGCATTACTAATAAATCTCTAAAATGGAAATCAACAATCTAATTGTTTGCTTCTTTCGGTTCTAGTCCCGCTCAAGTACAGTTTTAGCTCCGTTTAAGTGCAGTTCATTACAAGTTCTAGTTTAGTTCAGTTCTAGCTCAATTCTAGTTAAGTTCTAGTTCAGTTCTAGTTCAGTTCTAGTTCAGTTCTAGTTCAGTTCTAGTTCAGTTCTAGTTCAGTTCTAGTTCAGTTCTAGTTCAGTTCTAGTTCAGTTCTAGTTTAGTTCTAGTTCAGTTCTAGTTCAGTTCTACTTCAGTTCTAGTTCAGTTCTAGTTCAGTTCTAGTTCAGTTCTAGTTCAGTTCTAGTTCAGTTCTAGTTCAGTTCTAGTTCAGTTCTAGTTCAGTTCTAGTTCAGTTCTAGTTCAGTTCTAGTTCAGTTCTAGTTCAGTTCTAGTTCAGTTCTAGTTCAGTTCTAGTTCAGTTCTAGTTCAGTTCTAGTTCAGTTCTAGTTAAGTTCTAGTTATGTTCTAGTTAAGTTCTAGATAAGTTCTAGTTAAGTTCTAGTTAAGTTCTAGTTTAGTTCTAGTTCAGTTCTTGTTCAGTTCTAGTGCAGTTCTAATTCAGTTCTAGTTCAGTTCTAGTTCAGTTCTACTTCAGTTCTAGTTCAGTTCTAGTTCAGTTCTAGTTCAGTTCTAGTTCAGTTCTAGTTCAGTTTAGTTCAGTTCTAGTTCAGTTCTAGTTCAGTTCTAGTTCAGTTCTAGTTCAGTTCTAGTTCAGTTCTAGTTCAGTTAGTTCAGTTCATTCTAGTTCAGTTCTAGTTCAGTTCTAGTTCAGTTCTAGTTCAGTTCTAGTTCAGTTCTAGTACAGTTCTAGTTCAGTTCTAATTCAGTTCTGGTTCTGTTCTAGTTTAGTTCTAGTTCAGTTCTAGTTCAGTTCTAGTTCAGTTCTAGTTGTTCTAGTTCAGTTCTAGTTCAGTTCTAGTTCAGTTCTAGTTCAGTTTCTAGTTCAGTTCTAGTTCAGTTCTAGTTCAGTTCTAGTTCAGTTCTAGTTCAGTTCTAGTTCAGTTCTGCTTCAGTTCTAGTTCAGTTCTAGTTCAGTTCTGGTTCAGTTCTAGTTCAGTTCTAGTTCAGTTCAGTAGTTCAGTTCTAGTTCAGTTCTAGTTCAGTTCTAGTTCAGTTCTAGTTCAGTTCTAGTTCAGTTCTAGTTCAGTTCTAGTTCAGTTCTAGTCAGTCTAGTTCATTTCTAGTTCAGTTCTAGTTCAGTTCTAGTTCAGTTCTAGTTCAGTCTAGTTCAGTTCTAGTTCAGTTCTAGTTCAGTTCTAGTTCAGTTCTAGTTCAGTTCTAGTTCAGTTCTAGTTCAGTTCTAGTTCAGTTCTAGTCAGTTCTAGTTCAGTTCTAGTTCAGTTCTAGTTCAGTTCTAGTTAAGTTCTAGTTCAGTTCGTAGTTCAGTTCTAGTTCAGTTCTAGTTCAGTTCTAGTTCAGTTCAGTTCTAGTTCAGTTCTAGTTCAGTTCTAGTTCAGTTCTAGTTCAGTTCTAGTTCAGTTCTAGTTCAGTTCTAGTTCAGTTCTAGTTCAGTTCTAGTTCAGTTCTAGTTCAGTTCTAGTTCAGTTCTAGTTCAGTTCTAGTTCAGTTCTAGTTCAGTTCTAGTTCAGTTCTAGTTCAGTTCTAGTTCAGTTCTAGTTCAGTTCTAGTTCAGTTCTAGTTCAGTTCTAGTTCAGTTCTAGTTCAGTTCTAGTTCAGTTCTAGTTCAGTTCTAGTTCAGTTCTAGTTCAGTTCTAGTTCAGTTCTAGTTCAGTTCTAGTTCAGTTCTAGTTCAGTTCTAGTTTAGTTCTAGTTCAGTTCTAGTTCAGTTCTAGTTTATCGTTCAGTTCTAGTTCAGTTCTAGTTCAGTTCTAGTTCAGTTCTAGTTCAGTTCTAGTTCAGTTCTAGTTCAGTTCTAGTTCAGTTCTAGTTCAGTTCTAGTTCAGTTCTAGTTCAGTTCTAGTTCAGTTCTAGTTCAGTTCTAGTTCAGTTCTAGTTCAGTTCTAGTTCAGTTTTAGTTCAGTTCTAGTTCAGTTTAAGTTCAGTTCTAGTTCAGTTCTAGTTCAGTTCTAGTTCAGTTCTAGTTCAGTTCTAGTTCATAGTTCAGTTCAGTTCTAGTTCAGTTCTAGTTCAGTTCTAGTTCAGTTCTTGTTCAGTTCTAGTTCAGTTCTAGTTCAGTTATAGTTCAGTTCTAGTTCAGTTATAGTTCAGTTCTAGTTCAGTTCTAGATCAGTTCTAGTTTAGTTCTAGTTTAGTTCTAGTTCAGTTCTAGTTCAGTTCTAGTTCAGTTCTAGTTCAGTTCTAGTTCATTTCTAGTTCAGTTCTAGTTCAGTTCTAGTTCAGATCTGTTTCAGCTCTAGTTCTGTTCTGGTTCAGCTCTAGTTCAGTTCTAGTTTAGGTCTGTAGTCATAATATAATTTAAAACTATCGGCAACAATTTTAATAGAGAACTCTTTATACACAATAAAACCTCTTGCAACAAAATCGTACTTTTTCAAATTATCAACAATCAAAAATTAAAATTAATCATACGTCATGTGAAACCCATAATTTACAACACAATAAATGAATAAATAAATTAAAAAGAATACAAACTAAAACACTTACCATAATAAACCCCCTTTTTTACACCGGCACTTACTCATAAATGACGGCCAACATACGTACATACATATAGACAGGGACGCTGTAACGAAGAAAAAAATAAAAAACGATATTAAGATCTTAATCTTGGCAAAAATCATGAAAAACACTAAAGAATCATTTATATATTCGACTAAGTATTTATAACAGCATACAAAAAATTATTGTAATTATATAAAATTATTAACAATTTACCTCAAATCTACACTATACTACCGCTCAAAAGTGTACATAATAAAAGCATATAAAATGCATTTAAATTTACACATAAACAAAATGATCCATAAACAACAATGAAAATTGTTCACAGAAAAATCAGAAATATACAAACAGATAAATGAACGATATTTTTACTTGGTCAAAAAGCAAAAAAAAATATATATAAATAATAACAAATTGCCAACAATAAAACAACAACATCAACAAAAGTAAAAATAAATAACGAAAAAAAAAAACGATCATATGAATTAAATAAATAAATAATAATTTCAAGCAATAAAAGTGCAACAACGTGTGCAAAGTACACATTCTACACATACACTCGATGTAACTAACCGGCCACCGCCAACAACTAACCCATACAAAAGGTGGAAAAATTATTGGTATATTAAACAATTTATACAGTGGGTAAAAAAAATTAACAGCTGGAAGAAAAAGTCATGTTTTTGTTGTAGTTCTGTTCTGGTTCTGTACTAGTTCTGTTCTAGTTCTGTTTTAGTTCTGTTCTAGTTCTGTTCTAGTTCTGTTCTAGTTCTGTTCTAGTTCTGTTCTAGTTCTGTTCTAGTTCTGTTCTAGTTCTGTTCTAGTTCTGTTCTAGTTCTGTTCTAGTTCTGTTCTAGTTCTGGTTCTGTTCTGGTTCTGTACTAGTTCTGTTCTAGTTCTGTTCTAGTTCTGTTCTAGTTCTGTTCTAGTTCTGTTCTAGTTCTGTTCTAGTTCTGTTCTAGTTCTGTTCTAGTTCTGTCTAGTTCTAGTTCTAGTTTCTAGTTCTGTTCTAGTTCTGTTCTAGTTCTGTTCTAGTTCTGCTCTAGTTCTGTTCTAGTTCTGTTCTAGTTCTATTCTAGTTATGTTCTAGTTAAAAGGACACTAATGTAAACTACCATTATTAAGTACGTGTGTATTTGTTTGCCACAGCCAAAGGCTGCTGCTTTTAAAATGGTTGATAATTTTTTATTGTAGTTTCGGAATTTGTCTGTTTTATTTTTGGTTATTTAATTCGGTTTGGGGTAATGCTGTTTGTTGTTATTATTATTGTAATATTATTATTATTATTATTATTATTTGCTGTTGATGATGG